ACATTTAAAAACGGTTAGAAGCAAAACAAAGTTGTTGAAACAATTTGGATTTCTACTAGGTGCCATCTTTAAGTGCCTCAAAGCTTCAAATATTGCACCAGTATCCATAAAGAAGTGGATCATTTATAATCAGTATATTTGCCTCAGTGCATGAGTCATGGAAGATCTGGAGCAGGTTACATGCCTGGTATCAAGTACCAAAGATACTATATGGAATTTTGATATGGGAAATCAATGGGCTTTGCCATCTATTATTATTATTATTATTATTATTATTATTAGCCAAAATGTTAGTTTGGAAATGTTATGTGAATATGTTGTTTCTTTCAGATGGACAGAAACTATCTTCTCCCCACATGAAATAGGCAGATTCTATCTTACACTACTACTTTGGCTATATTTGTTTCTAAACACCTGAGTTACAAAGCAGACCCTTGAAGAAGGCCTTAATTTTGATAGCAAGATGATACCCTATAATAACCTATGCTTTTCAGCACTGTTGCATCCAGTCACAGCAGGAGCTGAAGATTTACAGTCTATTTAAATTTGTCTTGCAGTGTGTATCAGGAAGAGGTCTTGCATAGTACTGTTGTTGAATGTATTCAAATAAAGATGTCATGCAGAAAATTCATTGGAAGCACAAAAGAATGCTTGCTGAAAATTAGTGGTGGAGTGCTATGAAATATACTACTACTATGTCCTGAAACTATTCTTACTTTGCAGTTGTGTTTCAGGAAGGATCTACCTGCTTAAGGTGCTTCTTCTCTAATGACTATTTTCTCATTGCAGCAGAGAAAACACTAACACATAGCAAACAAGGCATTGCTCACAAACCTTACATATCAAATTCTAGGCTGAAATTCACTATGTCTTATTATTATTTAATATTTGACGTTGTGGTAGCATCTACAAGTGTCAATTCTCATGAGCTTCTCAACTCAGTGCTTGTTGTCCAAGCGCACGAATAACAGGGACTTCGTATTGCTCTGCTAGACATCGCAAAGAACAGGAAGAAGTCTAAGATGAAGAGAAGTGAGATGATTTTCCAAAATTCAGTGTTCAATCAGATTAGATTGGAAGTGTCCTGACTTCAGCTGCAGTTGACTGGGACAAGAACTTAATAAGTAACGACTCCATATTAAGCATCATAATGCCCTAAGGAATAGTTTAAAATATTTCCATTTCCTCTGGGCTAAGATACACTGTCTTGTTTTCCTTTCAATTACTTTGAGATGAAGCTTTTCCTCTGGTCTGCATGACTCGGGGCAGGATGTTCATAAAAGAGTGAGGAGTTTCATGTTACAGTTAAATGGAGCATATTTATGAGCCACTTAATCTTTTTTTTTTTTTTCAATGTATTTGCTTCAGTGATTTTTTTATTAACTGCAAAAGATGTAAATGAAAGGTTGAATTTGTTTACCCAAAGCAATGGCATGATTAAACACAAGTAAGAATAGCTATTCATCTATATATTTTCCAAAAACAATCAAAATTTTTTAATTTCAGTTTTTTCTCCCTTGGAAACTACAAATATGTTTTTGAATAAATTTCCATCTTGTTTTTTGAACAAAAGATCCATAATTTGTACATTTTAATGTCTATCTGTTGTAGACATTATTGTAATTGTTGTAGACAATCTGTTGTAATTCTGTAGGACATATAGTTTGAAAAAAATAAATGGCATTATACCAGAGCATATTGTGGTTTAATTATGATAATGGTAAGAAACTTACACTAAGCAACGGAAAATCTGAAAAATTCAAATGCCCCCTAAATGCTCACTATTTTATTTTCTGTCTGACCTTTCTAAAGAATTATTAGCAGGCTTTTTGGAGGCAGTACACTCATTTGTCTGCAGAGGATTTGGGCTTCATTTTGTTCCACAACACTAAAGAAGTAGGTATAAGATGGATGTACTTGGGAGAAAGCTTGAGGGTGCCACTGGTTAATCAAACAAAAAAGAAGATGCAAACTGTTCTGTATCCCATTGCTAACAGATTATAATTCCCAGGAGCAGCTTCACAAATCTTGTGAGATTGAAGAATTTTGCCATGTACACTGCAGACCTTTACTTGTGTCAGTATGTTTGGTAGTACATGATTAAAGCATACTTTAGAACAAAAATCAAAATGATCAAAAAATAGATAAAAAGTTTATGATGCAAGGAATATAAGTGACTTTGCTTTATAAAATATTGTGAAAAAATACCATTTTCCTCTCTTTCTATGATTTCATTTGTGAAAATTTCACTGTGCTTTCCTTTTGCAGTTTGAATAATACATTTGAATATTGCAAATGGTCTGTAGTGCACAATCTCCTTCACAGAGACAAAGCATATTGATTCTGAAAGTTATTGAAAGAAATATCCTTCCTGTTTTTTATTTTCTCTCTTTCCTCATTCAGTTTTTCTCTCCCAAAGGAAATGAGTCAGAGGACTCTCAATTTCTCATTCTGTCTGTCTCTTTTCCTTGTTAGTGTTCTTGCACAGACTTCATAAAAATTTTCCCTCAACTCGTCTCTAAGCATCTCTATAACCAGGGGAAGGTCTCTCTTTTTGATATATTTTGGTATTTTTATTACGCAAGTCATAAATATAAATTTCTGGATCTTGTCCTCAACTCCTGCTTGTGCAAGACCCTCAAAAGAGGATTCATCTTGGGGAGCTTCAATTCCTTACACTTTTCAAGAATAGAAATTGATGCAGAAATGAGAAAGATCAAACAGTATCTCTCTGACTGTTCTGCTTTATTCTGCAATAAGCATTTCACCCAGTAACTTCAGGGGTGGATTTGCTTAAGTGTGAGCATCAAGACTCCCTTATAAACTGTTTTTAAGGCCAGAAAACAATAAAATAGCTGGCACTTTCTGCAAGGTGTTCTGTACAAGGTAAGTTTGTGAAGCTGTGATAATAGCTGAAAAGCTGGGGTTTTTTCATAGTTCTTGGAAAATAAAAAGTTCTTTTGGATCTAAAACAAAGAACATTTTGTCACTAAGTATTTGAAATAAAATATTCAGTTTTAGCTTTCTGCATTACATTTTCATAAATTTTTTCTAAGGACATCTTCTTAAATCTATGATTACAGAATATGTCCTAATCTGATGGAGGTTTCTGGATGCTGAGGAACCCGAGGGTCATTACTGAACAGCAGTTAACAGAAAATGCTGAAAATACTTAAACTGTTGTTATTCTTTTTATGAATTCTTTTTGCCTTACGTTTGAAGTTCTCTGTGCAACCCTGACCAGCCAGTGTAATATCCTAAGTGTATTGCTTGTGACTCTCTGCAAACATATCCAACTTCTTGAGGTTTTCTTTGTTTGCTTCTTGAAAGATCAGTTATCATTTGCCAGGAAAAAAAAAAAAAATACACCACTCAACATTCTTAAAGTGAAGCTTGGGTTTTTGTGAATAAATACTCTCTGACAGTTCTTGTCCTCTGAAGCTTTAATGCAAATGTTAAAAGCCTCCAGGACAATATAAGTTACAGCCCTTTACAAATATAGTTTCCAGGGCAACTAAAGGGCCTGCTGTTTCATAAACACTGTTCTCTCAAGCAGAAACATTTGTCTGTCTGCTGGAAGATTATTTTACACTTAAGCATGTTAATTTCAAACTCATATTCCCCCTGTGAAACTATCACCTTCATTCAGATCTGGACCATTTGAAAGTAAGGCATGGAAATGTACCGAACAACTGCACTTGTAGGTGAGGTTTGGGCTGTAAGTGTGACTGGTGTGATATAAGAGAGCTGACAGAGTTCCTTGTGTGCTGCAGCAGCATCCTTCCTTTATCACCCAGCCAGGGACTGACACACAGCTCCTTCTCAGTGTGACAGCTTTGTCACTCCTGACTGATGGGAGCTCACTGGTGGATCTCAGATCAGGCTTTTATTGCCATTGAGTTATGGAAAGGGGGATTTCTTTGGTTAACAGAATTTATTTGGGCTTTGGCTATGAAAAAGTGTACACTTTGCTATTGAATTCAACATGTATACTTTCTGGGTGAAAAAGGTGATTGTGTTAATGACCTTTTTTCACAATCTCCATGTGCACTCACACACCACTTGACTAACAACCTCTTTGAACAATTTGTTTGTGATAACCAGCAGTATTTTCAACCTTTGGGCTCTGAATTCTTTGTTGTTGTTCTGCCTTTTTGTGACATACTATTCCATGTGATAACAGCATAACAAGCTTGCTTTTGTATGGCCTAATATTAATACAGCACCAACAGACTGTGTGAATTCTACCCTTCTTATATAGTGCAGTCGATGTAGTATATGAGTGGCATAATAATTGACTCAAATGGACTTTAATGATAGACTAGAAGGTGACAGATTAAAAGTCAAGACCAAGAAAGAGATGAAAACCACTATTTGAGTGACTTTCTAATTGTGCTTTGAGTAATGTATTTCCAGTACTTGCAGTGTGATTAGTCTGGGTAAGATTTCGATAACACAGTAAAAACTGCAGTAACTTTATTATTATTTTTCTTGTGCAACTAAAGAGGTCTTTTAGGCACAGTAATTTTGGGAAATGAAGCAGATCTTGTCCTCAGCTCTATTTGCATAACTCTTCCTGATTTCTGCACCAAATGCATTCATGCATATCCAAGTACTATACCAAACAATGACCTAGATTAGAAGGTTGTTTTAATTATGTATACTCATTAGTACATTTTAAAGAGTTACTTCACCTTTTTGTTAATTTTAAGTGAGATGAGAACTCCTGCTTATCTGTTAAGACAACTGCCTCAAATAAAGTTAGTTTACACAGGTTTAGAGACTCCATTATTTTGTCATTATTTTCTGTATGTCTGTCCATCCATTCTTGCTTTCTTTAGGGGCTGGTTCGTTTGTTTGCTGATTTTGTTTGTTTGATTGTTTATCTTTCTTCCCCCTCAATTTTTCTTACTTGGATTCCCCCTTCCCACATTTATCTCCTCTCCTCCCCTTATCCCTGCCCAGTGATAGAAGAAAAAAACCCATTAGCTATTGTCTTCATTTATTTTCTTCCCTCAGTACAAATGTTGATGTCAGTCTGTTCATGCACACTGCTCAGATGAAGATTAACACAAGAACAGCACATTGGAAAATCTGTAGAAAATTGTGCAGGGCTAGACTCTGTATCATTCTGTAGGAATGTTTCCAGTATCATGAATTTTGAGTAGAAAAGCCTAGGGAAAAATAAAGTACAGATTTCAATAATTGCTCTTCTGGCTGCTTGTAGTGTTTCACAGATTAAAGCATTTTAATTTTTGAGACTTGAAACAAATTCCTTGGTTCTTTTCTCACAGAGAGGCAGACCCCTGTTTAGGTTTTACCACCAAACTAGTCAGTAAGTTTAAAAAACATTTAAACGTAAATTTGTAAAAGTGCCTTCTACTCACTTTTATGAAGGCTAAATATCCCTTTAGAAACGATTTAAGACGTGACACTGACTATATCATATATTGAATACTGCATCATCTATATAATCAGTGAGACTTAGACTGCAAGGCACAGGTTAAGGCACCCAACAGACATGTGTGGATTTGCACCCAAGTCAGCACATGGCTGAGTGCTTTCAGCTGGTTCACACAACTTCTCCATGATCAGGTCTTTACTAGCAGACAATTAGAAAACCCTGGATAATGATGGAAACTGGTTCACATGGAAGCAAATGCCAAGAATAGATGGGAAATCACATTTTTGTCGGGAAAGCTTAGTTTGATAAATGTCAACTCAGGAATCAGTTGCTGTTTCTCAGGCTCCACATGAGGAGGGCCACATAAAAGCTGTGAAGTACAAATGGATGCAGATAGGAATGGTCCAGTGTCCCTGTTACAGAGGGTTTATAATGGGCACAGCAAAGCAAAAGTGCCTACACCCTGACAAATGGATTGATTGCCTTTCCACTGCAAAGGGAGGTCCAACTCTCCCCGTTCCATGCCAAAAAAAAAAAGTTGGGCTTCCTTCTTGCACCTGAGGTGGATACCCTTGGATCACTTGTGCCCCAAAAGCTGTGTTACAATAATGCTCCAGCTGTGCCAGGAGTGCCTTTCAGCACTGCACACTGAAGATGCCTTATCTGTCCAATTCAGTTAGGCCAAAACATCCAAAAGATACCTCATCATGCAACTCCCCATGACCTTGGTAGAATGAAGCCTTTAACTCTAGGCATCAATTTTTGAAATTGGTTAGAAAGGTTCAGAAAGAGCTTTATGAGCCTGAGGTCTTGTTTTGCATAGGAACTTTGTGGCAGGTTGATGGGACTGAGTTCCTGCTGCATTGCCATTTGGGCTGCTCTGCAGTCCCCACAGGAGTCTCCGTGAGCACCACAGGCTGGTGATTCCCTTAACATGAACATGAGCACCAGCTGTGCACTGCGGAAATACTGAGTTTGTGACTGGCCTTTGTTAATTATTAGACTGTAGTAAGATGTTGTGTTTCAAAGGTCAGGACAGGAAACATTGGTACCAAACAATCAGACATGTATGCTAAAACGGTACCAGCATAATTGTGCAACTGTTTGCTCAGGCAGTGGCAGTAAAAACATAATGATAGGTGCTTAATTAATTATGAGACACTATTGAAACAGGAGAGAAAGGTATATTTATGCAATCTATAATGAAGCATTTACCTTTATTCCCTGATCCAGAGTACACTTAACACCATAGTTCCAGCGACTATGGCTCCATGTTTGATTATAACTATAATTACATATATTATATTATATTTATATATTTATCAAATGTCAAATATATTTATCAAATATCCCCAGAATACATTGAATTAGTACGCTGAAAATATTTTAGAAGATTGTTTTTCTGGATGTATGCTAAGTAGCAAGAATAATATATTTTTCTATGCTAAGGTCATACAGAGAGGAAAGAAAGATTCTATCAAACAGAATCACACAGATTTTGATTGCTATTTCAAGGTACTATCTTTGCTACCAGGAGGGGTTGTGACTGGGCTAGCATGTGATTGCAACTGCACAGCTTATGCTTTTGTTCTTAATCACACTGATGAGCACAAGCAATACAGCATCAGGGCCAGGGATTTCCAGAGCATTAGTGATGGACTGAAGACAGAGCATGTGAGAAGTGCATGCTAAGTTTTTGTGCTAAAAAGTCAGACACTATAGAGGGAACTGAAGGTCTAGATGAGTTAATTTGGTATGAAGATGTTTTCCGTTTAGAAAAAGAGAAAAAATTGTTCTAAAATTTTATTTGGCTCCCCTTGGAAGCTGCATTAGAGCCTGTATGCTCCTGAAAGGGGAAGGTTTCTGAAATTGTGATAGAGAAAAGACAACATGGACTGTAGATTATTTTAAAATAAACAGAGGCTGTTCCTTAGTTGTGTCCCACTCGACTGTATATTGCACCACCCCTCATTTAGTAACCCCTATGCAAATAAACACCAAGAAGAGAAATAAAAGGGGAAGAGAAGGTCAGATAGACCTTAATCAGACAGAAAAAAACAACCCCCACAAAATCCTTCTACTTGCCTTTTTTCAATACCTCTTCAGCACTATTGCCCAGAAAACGAAATTTTATGAAAGAAATTTTAAAAATTCCCCAGCAAAGATGTGCATCAGAATTTTGTTGAACTGGGTGGTATGCTGCTGTGAACCAGAAAGATGGTCCTTGACTCTTCCTAGATATCTTCTGCCTCCTCACAGATAAATGTCTTATTCTTGTGCTTGGTGGTAAACAGTAATTGTTAAGGCACTGAAGTAAGATAACAAATTAACATGGTATTTGTATCATTAATGCATCTGTGTTTCCTTAAGGTACATGTACATACACATAGAATGGAACTGATTTAACAGAAGTCAGGAACTGTTCCATCTGTTTAAAAGCTTCCTGTGTCTTTTGGAAATAATTCTTCGTTAGTTTTATTATCAGTCACCATGACACCATGCAACACCACTCCTCTGAAGGTATGCTTTTGGTAGGGAGCACTTCAGCAGAGCACTGCTGGTTCTGATGAAGGGGTTGCTGCATGTGTATCTCTCTGGCACTGATCTGTTCCAGGAAAAGAACTCTTTGTGACTCAAGGAATGGGCACAGCTGCCTAAGTACTAAGATTTATACAGCAGAAAGTGAGGCCAAACAGAGTGTAGAAGGACTGTAGAAGGAAGAAGGAAAGCTGATCCCAACCTGAGTGGTGTAAGGGAAGCATCCAATAAACCAGCTGATTTAAGGGATGACTGCAGTGCTCTGCTGCTTTTCTGTTTGGAATGAAGTGAATCTCACCTCAGGTATTTAAACTGTATGCAGCAGCTGAGGGAGAACTTTACTCACGTCTTAGAGAACAGGAAGCTGTACTTTCTCTGTGTGTCAATATTCTTTGGATATGTGTTTGGATATCTAGAATTTCATATCACAGTTACCTTAATGGAGATTATGGTCAAGAATATGGTATATTTAACTATCAAATAAACTCTTATTTTATGGTCTGTTACCCACTCACAATTTTGTGCTTGCTTCACCATGCCTAGTATTGGGTGAATCACAGATTCACGAGGTTGGAAGAGACCTTTAATATCATTGAGCCCAACCCATGCCCTAACACCTCAACTAAACCATGGCACTGAGTGCCACATCCAATCTTTTTTTTGAACACATGTTTTTAAACACAGTGCTCAGTGTTGTTTTCAATAACGCTTTTTCCTAGGAATTTTACTGGTATCCATACTCTTGGGAGCAGATTTTGGAAATGGCTTCCCACTCCCTTTCTTTTTTTTTTCTCTTTTCCCCTTCTCTCAACATCATAGTGGGATGATCTGTCAATGAAATCCATTCAGATTCTTGGAATTATGTCAGGCTGTGGCAATTCTTCCACTTTGATCTACCACAGCAGCAAAAATAAGATGCAGTTATGGTTTTGTGTATTTAATAGCAAGAAATTACAGGTTTAGTGATAATCTTGCCCATAATCATCACCAAGGGACCATGTGCTGTGTGTGACTGTATGTGATGACCATACAGTTCACTAATTAAAATGAGTTGTTGTTCCCCTTGCAGACTGGGCACACTGGTGCTGGTAGGGGCAGGGGGAGCAGGGCAGAGCATGGCTATCCCCAGCTGCACCAAAAGCAGTGTGGCCAGCATGTCAAGGGAGGTGATTCTGCCTCTGCTCTGCTCTACAGAACAGCGTCCAGCTCTGGAGTCCCCAGCACAGGAAGGATATTGACCTTTGAGGGAGTCCAGAGGAGGCCACCAAGATGATTAGATGGAGAAAATAGAGTATGTCTCCTATGCACAAAGGCTGAGAAAGTTGGGATTGGAGAAGAGAAGGCTTCTGGGTAAACTAATTTCAGTCTTCCAGTTCCTGAACAGAGCCTACAAGAAAGATGGAGAGAAACTTTTTGCAAGGGCATATAGTAATAGGAAAAGGTGCAATGGCTTTAAACTGAATCAAGGCAGTTTTAGATTAGATGTTAGGAAGAAATTCTTTATTGTGAGGGTGCTAAGACTGGAACATGATTGCTAGAGAAGATATAGATGCCTGTCATAATTTAGGAATGGTTCTCTCCAATTTTGTACTCCCACTAAAAAGACCACGAGAGCTGCTCGCCTTCCCCTTCCCTCCAATATGAGGCACACAAAGCAAAGATCAAAAGTTGAGATAAGAACAACTTACTGGCAGCAGCAATGAGATTAAAAAAAAACAAAAATCAAACAGCAACAATATTAATAATGAAATGCATAAGACAAAGAAATTATGTTATGCAAAATAAAACATTACTGGGCTGTTTCACCCACCATGTTTTTTCCCACCAAAAGGAATCCCTTTCTCCTTTGAAGAGTCCCTTTCCCCTGCCCCTGGCAATGACATGAGGTGGTATAAAATAACATCTGGGTCCTGGCTGTGCCCCCTCAGCCATGCTTTGCTCCCAGCTACTGCAAAAAAATGAACCCTGTCCTGAACAAAACTAGGGCAATTCCCAGAAGTGTTCAAAGCCAGTTTTGATGGAGCTGTGAGCAACTTGGTCTAGTGAAAGTTCTCCCTGCCCACTACAGAGGTTGGAAACAGATGTTTAACACCCTATCCAACCCAAGCCATTCTGTGATTGATTCTGTGATTCTGTGAGTCTGTGATCAGATCTGTGGTGCCACATCGCTCACCACAGTCATTGGGGGAGTCAGTGGTGGGGAGCTGGGAGGTCAGTGGTGGGGTAGATACTGTCTGTGCCCTGCAGCGGCTCAGCTTCAAGGACTAACAAACCAGCTCATATTTTCATCATTCTGTGAACTTAGGTTTTTGCACTGTGAATTGTATTCTGTTCTAATTCAGAAGTTCTTAGAAAGACCAGCACAACAACCTCAAACTGGATGGTATACTGTAGACAATTCTGCAGTGCTGCTCTCTTCACCCTGACTACACATCCTCTGGATTCTTACGTAAGAAACAAGGGTAGAACTTAAGTGTCATAGTTTGTTAGAGTGAATGGATGGTTGTTGTGTAGAAATTGGACTTTGTTTAATGGTGAGTGCATCATAAATCCCTTGCCAATGGGTATATTTTTGAGTAGGTGTTTAAGCAGATTTATGTAAAAATTGTAGATTTAAATTTCTTCTATTTATAGTTTGGCAAACACTGCCCTTATTTTGCCTATTTTTTAATTAATACTAAACAAACATGTTGACAAAAATGTTAAATCCCTGTTGTAAACATTTAAATCCTTTCTGATTAATACCATCTGCATTTAGGAGCATAGCATGTGTATTTCCAGGAAGGTGAGAATCATTGCAGAAATAGAGGATCCTGGTGTACACTCATATGAACATATTACATGTGTTCCTACTGCTGCATGGATTGGCTAAGCACTTAAATAGAAAACCAAATAAAGCATGTTAAGGTGTATTGTATATGAATGCATTAGCATCTCTCACTCACTGGCAAATTTGTAAAATATTGGGCAATATGGCAGGGCAGAATGAAAATACAGGTTGAATTGTAATTAAATTAAGGGCTATTGCACTGATGGCTTATTTTTATATGTTTTGTTTTTATGATAGTATTTGGAATGTCATGCTAAATTGGAGTTAGGAACATATTGTTATATATATACACATATATAAAACATACATGTATTTATACACAGAACACAGAGTCAGACAGACATATCACTTTGCAATGGATGACTTTGGAAGTAAGTTTAAATTTAAACTCCTTTAAGTAGGTTAAGATATTTCAGTTATCTGATCAGTAAAGTACAGTGACTGACCTACATTTGTGAGGAAGTAATTTTTCTGAAAATGCTGTTCTGACTTTAAAAGGATCATTAGTGGAACATATCTGGCAGTCTAATTTCCATTTTAGATAACTCAGAATTATTAATTAACATATTATACCCAGGCAAACTTCTAATTTCTGCAGAGAAGTGTCTAGGCCTTCACAGCTTGAAAGGCAATAGCCAAAACCAACTGTGTAACTAGGGATAACTGCACGGGATGAAAGGGATTTGCTCTCCTATGGATTTCCTAGTGTGCTATTTCAAATCTCTTGTCAGGGTTACTGGGCTGGCTTAAGTTCTTTCTCCCTGATCTTTTTTTGGCGTTGCTCTTGGTCCTTTCCCATGCAGTGTCTCACAGTGGCATTTCAGGATTCTAGGATATATTTGTATACATGAAAACTTCAAGCTGACAGTACAAAACACTGTGAAAGCACTCTTGTTTACTCAGAGGTAGCGCCCCACACCTCCCTGTGCAGTGACACACAGGCCAGATGTGTTCAGCTACCAGTGAGCATCAGCCACGGCTTGCACCACCAGATCAGCCAACAGCCTGTGCAATAGCTTTAGTGCCACAGTTGATGGACATGACATTAACATTCTTCAGAGTTCCAAGCCACACTCTATTTCACAACACATCTGAATTCCTCACCAGGTTCACCAGTGTGCCACTGCACGGTAAAAACTTTCAGAGCAAACTGCTGTTTGGTGAAGAAAGCTGGAGATGTGGAAAAAAGTAAGGATTTTTTTTTAAATAAAAGTTTTACAGGAGTTGAATTAAATATTGCTGAATTGGAACTGTATGACATATCTTTGCAAGAGACATTTGATTTTTGTACTCTTCTCCTGGGGTGCTTATTTAAATAGAAAAATGTCATCAAAATACTGCATGATACTCGTAACCTTCAGCAACTGCTAAAAACATTGATTTTGAGCTTTGATCTTTTGTGAAGAATTTCTCCATCTGGGAACTGTGGGTTTGACTGTTTCATTTCTTAACTCTTTGTGTGATCTCTGCAGTGATTAGGTGTCTGTCAAAATGTACAGCAGTTTGCTGGTCTTCTGCTCAACTCTGACAGTCCTAGAAAGGGCTGGCTGGCTTGCCCTGTTTCCTAGCTAGCTAATACTGTTTCCTTCACCTTCATTGGATGGTTGATTTATGGGTTTTGGATTTTAGTTACTTGATTTGGTTTCTTTTTTTTCAAGTGAGCTCTAGCTATCTGACAGTGTTGCTCTTGTCCACCACCTGTCTTTAGGTCATAGGAGTGGGCAGGCTGTCTTGCTTGTCCATCTATCTATGCTTAGAGAATGGACAGGAACATTTCTAGTTTGTAACCATCTCTTTTAGTTTTTTACTTGTGGCTTCATGACTGCAGACTTGATTTAGTCTCTGTAGCTTTCAAATACTTTGGGCCCAACTGTACTCTCTGTTGAAATACAGTAATAAAATTCCCTTTACTTTCAGCTAGGGAAAAATGGAAGAAAACAAACAAAAAAAACCCCAAACAAAAACAACCCCAAACAAACCAACTAAAAACTACCCACAGACTGAAAACCTAACATTCTTCTCAGAGCTTCCTTCCCAGAGACATCTACATTTTTGTAAGGAAATCTAAGTTTTTCTCCCTTATACCCTTAGAACTGTGTAATTTCCCAAAGCTTTCTGCTGTAGCATTCAGACTACACCTCTGATACAAATTGTTAACTCTCTTTGTAGTTAACTATTTTATGTCTTTTGATTCTGTGGTTCCTGCATATTACAATCTTTCCAGAGAGCCTTTAGAACTTTTCAGAATGTAGATCCAGTACAGTGTATCCAAAGCTTTCCCAGTCCATAGCAACATAGTGGCAGGAGATATTTACTGTACTTAGTTCATAGTTGGTGTCTCTTTGGAGGCTGGAGGCATTTACCTGCCCTACCTTTTTCTACACAGGCAGAATGGATGAGAGCTGTGCAGTCAGGGAACCAAATGTCTGAGAAATCACTGCCAGGTTCAGAATGCAGGTTAATTATTGATTCGAGACACTCTGGATTATTCTCCTGAAGAGGACCTTCATGGTAGAGCTGAGGCTTCACAAAGGCTATCCATTCCACCTTTCTGTTTTGCACCTGTACTGTGAAATAAAGCAGATGTTTGAAGCCCTTTTCTAGGTTCTTTTACCACTGTAACTAACTTAAACTAAGTCTATTTAAAGTCAGCATCTTCACAACTGTTTCCAGCCTCCCTATGGAAATAATCATGGACAACATTTTATGACTTAATAGCAATATCTGTGGCATCTTGCTTAATTCATTTTGTTTAGCTGGAACATATTTTCATACAGTGGTGATTCTCATGTTGCTAACTGTTGAAAAAAACATGACCTCTCATGGGATACAACTTTGAAAAATAAGATTATTTGTACACAGTGGGTTGTTTTTAGTCAGGTGAGTTCCCTGAGTCAATTAAGTTTGTGATTGCTGACTCAAGACAGGAACAAGAGTCAGCAGAAAGCAGCATCAGGGCAGTCTCTGCTTCAGCTGGCTCACATTGCCTTTGTGCCTCCCCGCCACCTACTCCCCATTTCATGTGTTCATAGCAGCGCTAAAGAGGATGTAGCACACAGCTTCAAGAATCTGTTCAAACACTAAAACCAGAAGCAATATGAACACAGCACTGCACCTGGAAGGATAAACTCTCTTAAGAGAGAGTTTAAAGTCTTTTGGGCAGAGAGAGAGCTCAGCAGGTGTTGTCTTTGCAGCACTGGTCTGTCCTCAGGAAACATACAAGCAGAGTTCAACGTTATGACATGCACCTTTGAAGGCAGCTGGTGACTGGCTTTCTTGACTGTGCAAAGAAGTTGTAAGTCCCTAAATAAACTGGCTCCACTTTAGCTAAAATGTTGCTTTGCTAGATCAAATTATTGTTCCACTTACACTTGTATCCTATTTCTATCAGCAGCCCTGATTACTCAAAATGCTATGCCTTATTGTGTGTTCACTGCTCGCTAAAAAAAAACCCAGAGAACTGATGATACCTCAAAGGATGGCAGATGTGAGCTGGTGCTGCATAATGTATTACTGGAGGCACCAACCACTAGGTTTCATTAATTGTGCAATTATACAGGTGATGAGTTAGATATATGGGGCCATTTGATAGCATTGTGAGACTTAACAGATTTACAGGAATTATTTTGCCTAGCGCGTTGCTGAAAAGCTGCTACTTGAGGCAAAACACAGTAGCTGCTTAAAAGCTGGCAGATTCCTACAATCCACTGAACCTACAGGGGTAATTTAGGCAGGCAAAAATGTAATTACTTGGTGTATTTCTTACACTTAGCTCATTACACAGTGCCTTACAGTGGAAATATATCTCACTCAATATCCCTATTAGCACAGGTCTTTAAGGGTGGAATTGTGTATCATTTATGTAATCGGAACACAATTACAGACATATTAATGTGAATAAAGTTATTCAGAGTCCTCCTTAAAACTTGAATCTTAGTTCTTGTGCTTAATTAATTATATCAAAATAGACCCATTATTTACTCAATATGGAAATTTGCCTCTTTCAAATAAATGTGTTTGGTTGGTTTTTTTTTCAACATGTGAAAGCAAGGCAATATAGTGAATGCAACTTAATAAAAGCCAGAATTTAAAATAACTTTCAAAATATTAGATACATGTGGATAGCCTGGCAATAATAACATAGCTATAATAATTAAGTCTTTAGAACACCATGTGGAAACCTAAGATATTAAAGCAGAAAGCCTGTTATCATTCTGACTTTCATGTAGATACAAAAGTGAACCAGATCATGTGAAGTGGCTGCTGTCATAATTTACTTTGTTATAGACTATTTAGTTGATTATAGACTATGCATTTGGGGTTTTAGTAGAAGTAATTACACTGGGACAATTTTCATTTATGTAATATAAAGAGTAGGGTTATATCTCCAAAATTGACATAACTTTGTGTGAACATCATGGATTTCATCTCTGACTAATGCTTTAGCTGGCATTTGGACTTAATGAAAGCTACTCCTACTTTTAGATGGAGACAGAAGTTTCTGGAGACGCCTAAAAGTGAACAGAAGTAGTGATCCTGTGATTTGAGCTAGTGTTAGCTTAGATTAATTTTCAAATAAAAATACTACAAAGACAGACTTCACGTTCACAGACACAACTTTCCTTTACACATTGCATTGCCTTTTCCTTGAGTATGCTATGTATACTGTAACAACTTCTGCCTTCTAATATGATCTTTCTTAGTCAGTCTTAACTCATCCCAGTTCCCCATTCTGTATTGGGATATAAGCATACACTCGTTTGGTCTGACTACCTACTTTCTACACTGTTTAGATGGGACTTAACTGGTTCAGGCTGTTGGTTTTATTGTTTCATTTGCTTCATTCTTTCTCCCTGCAACTGCTCTTATTCTATCTGTTTTTACTTCATCTGCTAAGGATGTGTACTCTTGAGCTGTGAACTGTTCTTATTCTACCCCTGAGCTGTGTGGTCTTCCACCTTGTCAAAATTCATAAGATTTTTTGTTTTGTTTTCACTCAGCTTTTATATCTTTGAATTTCACCCTGTTTGCAAAAACTCTTCCTGTTTCAAAATCACTAACTCAACACCTCCGATTTTTAAGGGTCTTCACTTACTTACACTGTCACCTCAGCTTTCAGGTACTGCAGGATTCAGTGTTTGATGGTCTTTTAAGAAGTACTTCAAGTGATTTCATTGAGGAAATGAAGATCAGATCACGGGTATTTAGTTCTGAAGGCAGGAGAACTATCACTAATGAATCTGTGTAAATTAGGATCTCTCAAGATCCTAAGACCCAAGTCAAGAAGGGTTCATGGACTGTTAAAGAGGATACTTTGTCAGACCACTGGGACAATCACACAAGAAAATTTTTGAAGGTGTTGATGTAAAAAATTTTTATATTATTTTTAAATACAATTCAAAATATACATAAAACCAGTCTATTAATGATAACAGTAAAGCAGACCTCATTAGAATAATCTATCATGCACAATTCTCTTCAGTGTCATAAAAAATAATGTAATATGCAGTTGCTGCAAGAATGTATGATTCATATATAATTTTGTTCTTAAGTATAGAAAGGAAAAAATAATGAAAAAATTGAGAGTCTCTTATTTCCTGTGAAATAATAATTACTTATTTACCTTTTTGGTCTGAAAAATTCTAAATGTCTGCAAAATTATTGTGACGCTTTACTTCAGTACCACATATCTTTTCTAAATCCCCTCCTGCACATTTCTAATTTCCAGGATTGTTTCTGGTGTCATCATAAAATGATTTAGGAACTACTTATTTCAGGAATCTATTGTTATCAGCAGACATTAGAAAATATTAAAATGGTTGAAAAGTTTTTAAATTACTAGGTAAGAAGTTTTTTAATCTTCCTTTAGGTATCAAAGCTTTGTCATGGAGTAATTAACATCTCTCCGGCTCCTCTGTATATTGTAGGTTTCTCATACACACATAGCATAACCAACAGTCCTATATTTGCTTTTATTATAAACTCCTCTTAAACACATTTACATTAGCATGATTCAGCACATAGCTTTGTGATGTGTCATCTTTTTCTCTACCTGTGCAGTCTTTATGATGCAAGTCCTTTAAGACTTGTAGGGCAGTGGATGATTTAAAAAAGTGATTTCTACTTTTTGCTGTATTGGGAAGGGGGTGGAGCTGGTCCAAAGTAACCTCTTCCAAAATGCACCTGTCCTGAACACCTCCTCTTTCCAGATGCACATCCACACTTTAGCATTGTTGGGCATTTTACTTGCTGTTGTAAACATAGCTAAATACAGTCCTGGATTTATTCTGCAGCTTTGAGGTCAGACAACAAGCAGAGCCTGTACCAAAAGAAGGCAAAAGTGCAACAGCACTGTAGAGTACATGTCCTATTCTAAATTCATTATTTCTTTATTTATGCAATAAAGAGTGCAATCAGCAAGAAGGAATTTATGTACAGTTAAGGAAGATGTAATATGACATAATATGACATATTACAGTAGTTACAATTGACTTTTACTATTTTGTTACCGTGAACAGCTTGCTTTGGGGCTTAATATATCTCCTTTCTCATTTGTTTTGGAGCAGAAAAAGAAATATTCAGAATACTCAATAACTCAGTTAAATACCACTCTTGTCTTTTCCAGGGTATAAAATTCTGCTGTTTGCAATCTTTTATAACATGTACTTGGAAATAGCACCATTTCTCCTAAGATCATACTTACAATCTTCATTTAAGGGACAATCTTAAGCTAACCAGAACTGAAAAGACATTCAAAGCCAAAAACAGACCCACCAGATAGTTTTTAGGCAGGAGGAAATTAAGTGAAACTTGGGGTGAGTTTCTATTTTGGTATCTATTTTGATAGCTATAGGAGCTCAGAAAATCCTAACCAGAAAGGCACCTTGTTCAGAATTCAAAGAATAGCAGTCTGTAATCTTCACCTGTCTCTTTCATTTAAACAAAAGATAGCCCAAACACTTCTCTTACAAGGCAGACTAAAACATGACATTGGCAACAAAAAAGAAAATTAAAATAGGAAAATAACCCACATCAAACAAAAGAAAAAGAAAATAATAAAAAAATAGCACAGTCTTCAAAACTGTACTAATTTGGCACCATATCTCTAATTTTAGCCCCCTTATTATTCTTCTACTCTTCTGTTCAGAGTAGGCGTGTTTGAGTTCCACTTCACTGTCTTACTCTTTCTTTTCTTTTTGCCTTTTCTAATATTTAATCCTCCTTTCTCCTAAAAAAACTGTCGATTTGTATCCTGTTACACCTTCAAATTTTTGAGTTAATACTTCTATTTCAGCAATTCATCTCCATGTTTCTATAAGACTGGTATTCACAATAATCCGACTTTTTCCCAGAATATTTTTTTTTTTGCATTTAAATGATGTTACATCAAAACAGAACCAGGAAATGTATGCACAACAAGACAATTATGTAATGCAAGAATTTATTAGTCTTGTGCCCTTATGGTATGTCTTTCAAAACCCTCTGTTGCTGACAAAATTAGCTTACTGGTATTTCTAAGGTTCTGATCCAGTAATGAGGTTTGTATGAATCAGTTTGGAATGCTACT